TTGTTTGGATATACTTGTTGCTGATCGATGAATTACCTTGCACCTTCTTGATCGATGTTGATGGCTTCTCAAGACTATCTCCGTCGTCATCCTCAGGAAGCTAACATGAGATATTGAAAGATCATCAAAACTCAAACCGGCGACCATGAATGTCAAAGTGAATCGACAAGGTTTAGAGGAAATCATCATTATCAAGTTTAGTTTAATGTCAATGTGTGTTTAGACTTTAGTTTGAGTTATTGTTTTATCTTTGTAGTCTCCAATTGCTAGCTTTCACATGTTATCTTGTTGTGCAAAACTTTTGCCTATTTAAAGCCAAATATGAATGAGAAACACCCAAGACTTCTAGGATTTCATTTTCCACAACTCAACTTTGTTGTTAGAAGCGTACCCAGCTACATAAGTTCTGGGCTCCACATAATTTCCCGAGTACTGGGGCAGTGAGGTAGATCCATATTGCTTTATAGTTGTTCATGGCTACTGCAGGCCCCAAAGTTCTCCGGGTTCATCGAAGCACCTGTTGTGTTCCAGTATCCAAAAGAAAGAGAACATCTCCTAGCTAGTCGCAATTAGTGTGCCTTGGGATGATTTGTTACTTTCAGGTTTCATCATACTTGCAAGTGTTGATTTGTTGTTTGAGTTAAACTGATTGTTTTAGATTTTATTTTTGCTTGTGGAGTAGAATAGGAAGGAAAATGTTAATCAGAAATGAGAAGTGTTGATGTGACTTGAATCGGACTATCAGCCGCTACGACTGGTAATCGGGGGTCTCGCTGACCGGTCAACGAGTGGGGTCCAGGGGCAATGCCCTGGTGGGGGTGCGGGGGCAACGCCCCGGCCCACGGTGTATGGGCTCAATGTTATTTGGGTTCGGGTTATGGGCCTGGTCTGTAACCATTTCCTTTGCCAGATTGGATTAGGTTTAGACCCACATGGAGAAGTACTATAAATACTGCTCATACTCCTCTGTAATCTCCTCGATATAGTGAAAATAGCTCTCTCTTGCCCGTGGACGTAGCTAACACACATCGTGTTAGTGAACCACGTAAATCGTGTGTCGTGTTTTTCGATTCTCGCTTTCGTATTCTTGCTTGGTCGATTCCTGCGATTCCCGATCCGTAGCAGCGCGTTTATAACAAGTGGTATTATGCGAACAAACAATGGTATGGAGTTTTGTAATTCTGAGTTCAACGAATTCTGCAAGGATGAAGGGATTGCCCGTCATCGGACTGTGAGAGATACACCCCAGCAGAATGGCGTTGCAGAAAGGATGAACCAGATGTTGTTGGAGAGAGCACGGTGCATGCTCTCTAATGCTGGACTAGAGAGAAGATTCTGGGCAGAAGCAGTGAACATGGCGTGCTTCCTGATCAACCGTGGACCTCACACAGGTATTGAGTTGAAGACTCCTTATGAGGTGTGGTATGGTAAGCCTGCTGATTACTCCTCACTGAAAGTTTTTGGGTATCCTGTTTATTATCATGTGGATGAGGGTAAACTGAACCCAAGGGCAAAGAAGGGTGTATTTGTGGGTTACGGAGATGGAGTTAAGGGATTTCGAGTCTGGTCACCTTCTGAGCATCGAGTTATACTCAGTAGAAATGTGATATTTGATGAGAAGTCTATGTTTAACCCCATGTTGAAGGTTACTGTTGTTGAAGGTAGCAGGAATGTTGATAAGCAGGTGGAGCTGCAAACTCTCAAAGAGAGTGAGTTTGAGCACCAAGGTGGAGAAGTCAACATGATGAGGATATCTCTGCAGAGCCAGAAACTTCAGAGTGCAGTGCACGAGCTCAACAGTCTATTGCTTCCGGTAGACCGAAGAGAGCGACTGTAGGAGTACCTCCACAGAGGTATGGCTTCGAGGACATGGTGGCGTATTCATTTCAGGTTGCTGAAGAAGTGGATGCAGGAGAGCCACAGTCCTATAGAGAAGCCGTTTTGGGTGGCGAAGCTGATCAGTGGCTTGCCGCAATGGGAGATGAGATGGAATCCCATGACAGGAATCAGACTTGGGAGCTAGTCGAACGACCACAGGGAAGGAAGATTGTTACAAACAAGTGGATCTACAAGAAGAAGGAAGGAATCACTTCTAAAGAGGGCATGAAATTTAAAGCTCGGGTGGTTGCACAAGGCTTCTCGCAGAGGGAAGGAGTTGACTACAATGAGATTTTCTCACCAGTGGTCAGACATACTTCGATCAGAGTGCTACTAGCAATAGTGGCACATTATGACTTGGAGCTCGAGCAGCTAGACGTGAAGACAGCTTTCCTACACGGAGAGTTGGAGGAATAAATTTACATGACTCAGCCAGAAGGATTCGAGGTTCCAGGAAAAGAAGACTATGTTTGTAAGCTGAAGAAGTCCTTGTATGGACCTAAGCAGTCTCCGAGGCAATGGTACAAGAGATTTGACAGTTACATGCTTGAGCTGGGCTATAGCAGAAGTCCATATGATTGTTGTGTGTATCACAACAAGGTGGAGGATGGTTCGATGATCTATCTTGTTCTGTATGTGGATGATATGCTCATAGCTGCGAGGTCAAAGTCTGATATCCAGAAGTTAAAGGGGCTTCTCATTGCTGAGTTTGAGATGAAGGATTTGGGAGCTGCCCAGAAGATCTTGGGTATGGAGATTTACAGGGACAAGTCGAAGAAGAAGCTTTTCTTGCCACAGAAGAGCTACATCCAGAAGATATTGTCGAGGTTTGGCATGTCTTCAGCAAAGCCCTTAAATACTCCCAGTGCTTCAAATGTTCATCTATCCTCAGCTTATGCACCGCAGTCAGAGGCTGAGAAGGAGTACATGTCGAGAGTCTCATATGCTAGTGCAGTAGGTAGCTTGATGTACGCTATGGTATGCACTAGACCTGATCTTGCACATGTTGTAAGTGTTGTCAGCAGGTTTATGATACAACCTGGGAAGGAGCATTGGTAGGCTGTGAAGAGGATCTTCCGGTACCTTAAGGGTACACCTGATGTGGGGATTAGCTTCGGAAGTGATGAGTGCTTGGTGTCTGGGTATTCTGACTCGGACTATGCTGGAGATGTTGACACGAGGAGGTCGATGTCCGGTTATGTATTCACTCTTGGGAGTTCTGTAGTGAGCTGGAAGGCAACTTTGCAGTCGGCGGTGACATTGTCTACTATTGAGGCAGAGTATATGGCGTTGACAGAAGCTGCTAAGGAGGGAATATGGTTGAAGGGACTGGTTGGTGATCTGGGTCTACATCATGATCAGGCAGTGGTGTATTGCGACAGTTTGAGTGCAATATGCTTGGCCAAGGATCAAGTCCACCATGAGAGGACTAAGCACATCGACGTGAGGTATTATTTCTTGAGGACAGAGAAGAGGATTAAGGTGAAGAAGGTTGGCACCGCGGATAATCCTGCTGATATGTTTACGAAGCCGGTTCCACATGGCAAGTTTCAACACTGCTTGGACTTGCTGAATGTCTTGAGTGGGTGACTCCGCCCTGCGGGGCATTGATGGCGAGAGAGAGAGAGAGAAGGAGCAGAGTACATCAGAGATTTCAGAGGAAGAGGATTCAAGTCAAGGTGGAGATTTGTTGATTTGACTTGAATCAGACTATCAGCCGCTATGACTGGTAATCGGGGGTCTCGCTGTTATTTGGGTTCGGGTTATGGGCCTGGTGTGTAACCATTTCCTTTGCCATATTGGATTAGGTTTAGACCCACATGGAGAAGTACTATAAATACTGCTCATACTCCTCTGTAATCTCCTCGATATAGTGAAAATAGCTCTCTCTCGCCCGTGGACGTAGCTAACACACATCGTGTTAGTGAACCACGTAAATCGTGTGTCGTGTTTTTCGATTCTCGCTTTTGTATTCTTGCTTGGTCGATTCCTGCGATTTCCCGATCCGTAGCAGCGCGTTTATAACAAGAAGAGACACACACTCACCCAACAATAATGAGTGGATGTAAGATTGGCCCTAGAGACCCATTGATCCATCCGATCCAGTGATGGCAGTTTCCGACATGACTAGAGCAATTCGGTCTAAGTGGAGCGGGCATTATCTGACTCGCAGTAGTGTGGGGTGGGTTATGGGTATTGCTTTCGACTTGTCCCGTCCCTTTCTCGACCCGTACGATTATGATTTGCAAAAATATCTACGTGAATTCCTCTTGTGACCTTTCTAAAATGATATTTTCATCAAAATGAAATTTTAAGATTCACCTTTTAACTATTTTTACTCAATTATTTCTTCTATACATTTTTTTAAGGATTGTCGTCTCTATGTATCCTTGCAAAAAAATTAAATATCGACATATTTTTTTCAATATAACATATAAGAATTGGATGATGACCCACCCCGTTCCATACTCGCACGGGTATAACCCGACCTAACACACGCTTATTGCGGAGCAGGTAAGGGTATTGAGATATGCGCCTCGTCCCATTGTCATCAATAATCCGACCCGCTCCAACTCTAAGGGTCGGGCTGGGTCAGTTTGTCTATGAGGTTAGTTTAGGGTCAGGTCATCTTTTGACCTTGTAAAAGTTAGTAGAGTTCGGTCAATTTAGAGCCGGGGCACTTTTTGACCCTATGACCCATACGAGCAACTATTGATAAGAAATTCCTCATACCCACACATTGAACATGTTTGTAAAGTTTTAAAAATTTAGGTACTATAATGCAAGGTACTAACAACATAATTGTATCACTAAAATTTCTGGACCTATATGTAAAAAAAAAAAAAAAAAATCTTGTACAAAAATATAATTTTCAAAAATAAATTCCTTATTCCCATCTTCCAGACAGGCAGCAGCCTGTGCGAGATTGGCATGGTCGTTTGTTGGATGCTTATGCTATGAAGTTGGGAAGTTGTTACCAGAGCCGAACTGAGATAAAAAAAATGATGATGACGTAAATAAACAAATCATCATCATCATCATCATAACACTATAATAATAACAACAATATTCCCCTCAGGTTATTCATACAGCCATTGCCCGATAACTTCCCAAAGGCCACAGTCTCTTCCCTTTCGCCAGAGTCTTCCTTTCCAACCACCCAAACAAAACAGAGTCAAATATTCCGCCGCCGGCCAAAAAATGCTGGACGAGAAAGTAGTATTGGACGCGGCGAAGCAAGGGGCGAAGAGCTTGGGGAAGGCGGTCGCCCCCATAGCCACCCAACATGTCAAAATGTTGTTCGGAGTCAACAAGGAGCTGGATCGCCTGCGATCCACCGTCGACGCGATCGAGGCCGTGTTGAAAGACGCGGCGGCGGCGGGGGGAGGAGGAGGGCTCATCAGCTACCAAGACGGTGAGTGGGTCGACAACCTGGCGCGTATGAGGGATGAGGCAGCGGATCTGCTGAAGAGCTACTCGGCGAGGAAGCGGCGGCACGACGCCATCTTGAACCGGCGGTTCAACTGCGTCAGCTTGGCCAACTACGCGGTGTCGGTTCCTGGGTACTGGGTGGAGAACTACTTCGCGGCTCTGAAGGTGAGCAAGATCAGGGAGAGGCTGGATGCTATGGCTAAAGACCGGAAAACCGTGCATTCTAATTTCCGATGAGCTTCATCACAGCTGGATGACTCCAGATGCGCGCGGTCTTTTTTTAATGCTAGCTTTTTCTTTCTGTCTTGCAACTTCAGTAGTTGGCCCTCTATGATTTGATTGGGTTGACCAAATGAAGGAGCCGGGAAATGGGGCGTGGTTATGTACTTAATTGTGTTATAGAACATGTTTCTTGTAACTCTCGATTGTTCTTGGTTACGTTGTGTAATAATTAATGATTTTGGTAACCTCTGTCCCTTCAGGTGGTCTAACCTTTGTGATCAATATGAACCAAATGTGGGATGATAGGCCTTGAAATGTGATGGTTTATAATAGGTTGCTGGGAGTAAGGGGGAAAATTAGTCGAGCTAAGTCAGACTTTTTCATAATTCCGACTCAGTTTGTTAATAAACAAGTTGCACTCGATGTTGGTAATAAATAAGTTGAGCTCGTGCGTCAGGTTATTTAATGAAACTTTGCCTTGTGTTTGACTATTACTACTTATTATTAGTGAGCGCACGGGCTTTACGTCGAATTTGGCTTATCAATTAGTTCACGAGCTCAGCTCGAACTCAACTAATTGTCATTTCAAATAATTAAACCCCCAAACTGAACTCTAAAATAATTTATAAATTAAATATTTTAGTATTTTTATGTCTTCTATAATACATGTGATTAATGTCATGAATATTCTAAAAAGAATCGGAACCAAACTTTCATCATTAATTGGTCTCATGTTTATATACTCTATTGATATTATATTATTTAATTAATTTTAAGTAGTTCATATTATGTTATTTACTAGTAATTAGTATCTAACATATCTATGACAACTGCTATTTTAAACTGTATATGTGACATATATATATAATTTAATAACCTATGAATTATCAACAAGCAAGTTTATAAATTATAAATTGATTCGCTAATAACTTCATAATCGAGTTGTGGCTAGCCATACCGTCTATTCAGCTCACAAATTAAATTTCAAAATTTACAGAGTTTAACTAACTCGTGAGTTGAACAAATTTTAGTTCAAACTTGACTTGATAGTAAAAGAGCTCAAAGTGAAACGAGTTTTACTCGAGTCAACATTCAATCACTCATGGTTAGTTTGGCTATTAGTTTCGAGGGGGGAAAGTTGTATTTTAGAATGGTATTCTTTCTGAGTTATTTTTCTAATTTGAATAAATATAAAAAAAAGACTAAGTCATTAAAGAGCTGATTGGTCAGAACTCAGAAATGAGCTGGCCTAACAACTTGTCCTATGGACGACAGTGCAAAGTACTATTCTGAGCTCTGAACACAAATAAATAACCAAGTAGGCGTATAATGTAAACACAAATAAACAAGTAGCCGTGAGGTGTGAATATAAATTAAATTTATGTGGAATGGGTGAATGATTAACAATTAAATAATCACGATCACGCATTAAATATTGTAACCAATTTCTTAACAATATAGAGGAGACGAAGACTCTGCTTTTTGTGTATTACAATTTACAATTAACTAGTTGGGAAGAAGAAAAAGACTTGGGGAAGGTCCTCCGGGCCATTCTCCTGGCGACTCCCGCTTTCCATCCCTTTGTCCACTTTCTTTACTCACTAGCTCCCTGGCCGGCCGGCGGATCAGAAAACTCCGACCCAAAAAAATGTTGGACGAGAAAGCAATCTTCGATGCAGCAAAGGATGGCGCCCAGAAATTGGGGAAGGCCGTGATGCCCATTCTCCAGGACAGCGCGAAGCTCCTGTTCGGGCTGAAGAAGGAGCTGGAAAATCTCAACTACACAATCCGGTCAATCGAGGCGGTGGTGAAGGACGCCGAGCAGAAGCAGAAGCCGCTGAGCAACCAGGACCGGGACTGGGTGGAGAAGCTCTCGGATGTGATGAAGGAAGGCTTCGACCTGCTCGGCTCTTACTGGGAGAGGTCCCAGAAGCAGGCCGCCATCATCAACGGGGATTACTTCAATTGCGTCAATTTGGCCAACTACGCCGTGTCTTATCCGTACCATCTGTGGGCTGATTTTAGGACGGCCGGCAAGATCAAGGATATTAGGGAGCGGCTCGATGCCTGTGCCAAGGATCGGAGGATGTTTCAGCTTCGAGTTTGAAGTAGATGCCGGCCGCCGGGGGTGCCGGAGGTCTCCAATTTCAGATCTGGCCTTGTTTGGGGTTGACCATGGATGGGGGTTTTACTACCTACGGATGGTTGCTTTGCCACCGTTGATTTTGCTAAAGAGTGCGACTTTTCTTTCTTCTCTTATTGTGAAAAGCTATTTCTGTACTAGCTGGGTTTTACTGTTGTGGGTTTATTTTTTGTACTTCATGGGCTTGATATGCTGTGGTGGGCTTCTGTTTTTGTCTACGTGGTGGGCTTTGTGCGGTTGTTGTAACATAATATAAATGTACAATTTTAATTTATACCATAAATGGATTTTACAAACAATTCGAAGTTGTACTATAAAGACAAAAAATACAGCACCAATGCTTTAAAGTATTTAAAATTCCTCTAATCTAACTCCATGGTCCCTACAATATATAACAAATTAAAAGGGTAAGAAAGCTAAAAAGAAAAGGTTGAGAGCTAAATAGGGCCGGCCAATAGGGCGTGCCAAAAGGCTCTACAACACAGGGCCGCCAAATATTTGTGGCGTATGATTGAGTGATTATGTATATATATTATGCTTTCAAATATGTTAATTTATAATAATAATGCAAATAATTAGTCACGTACATACAAATGAAGCACGTGTTTTGAAACAATTACTCCGGAATACACACAAAATATGATGAGAAGAATAACTTCTTTATTAAGTACACTCGTAGTACAAGCTACAAGTAATTATATGATTACACAGAGAGGAGTGTAAGCTATATGGCTTTTTGGTGTGTCTTCTCTTCTTCTTTAGCCTTGCTTTTATAGGCAATGAGCAAGCCATTTTCATCAATGTAGTTAGGAGGAGGTTTGGGAGACGATGATGTGTAGGGTGGACATCCATTCAATGTATACATCATAATGCACCCCCTTATATGTTCATAATTTGTAGTACGCTTTTTGTATACAGCCTCAAAAAAACTTACTAGAAAAAATCCAATGGGAAAAAACCATAGTTAAGGAAAAAAGAGTACAATGCGTATCTACTCCCCCTCATTGTGACATCATTGAAGATTTTTGAGTCACCGAACTCCATCTTGTGGACTAGCTTCTCAAATGTTAAAGTAGTAAGTGACTTTGTGAATACATTGACCATTATGTGGATAAGACAGATATCCAGCATCTGCGTATCCTACTAAGTCATATTTGGGTAATTTTGAATAGAACAAACACATATCCATCGTTCCTCGAAGATACTATAGTAAATGTTTTATGCCATTCCAATGTCTTCGAGTAGGGGAAGAAGTAATCTTGCTAGTAAGTTAACAACAAATGATATGTCTTGTCTTGTATGATTAGCAATATACTTTAATGCCCCAATCACACTAAAATATGGTAATTCTGGAACAAGTATCTTCTCATTTGTTTTTCGAGGCTTAAATTGACCTTTTTCCACATCTAGTAATCTCACGACCATAGGTGTGCTTAATGGATGTGATTCATTCACATAGAATATTTTAGCACCCTTTTTAGATACCCTTCTTGATGAATCAAATTTCAATCTCTCAAGTGTTCGATTTGTAATCCAAGACAAAATTTTGTTTTTCCCAAGTCCTTTATTTCAAACTCTTTCTTTAAACAATCTACTGCTTTTGAAAGCTCTTCAGGAGTCCCAATAATATTTATGTCATCAACATAAAATGAAATGAATACAAATTCCTTGTCGGATTTCTTTAGAAAAACACATTCCTCGGTTAGAAGATCACTAACGAAAACCAAATTGGGAATTTTCGACGTTGAAAGATAGCGAGGAGACGTGGGCAAGATGGCTCCATGGTGCGAGGCAACAACCCCTTCCCCTGCGATCTCGCTTGCAGCATTAAGACTCATGAAGGCGAGAAGAAACCTAAACAAGAATCCTGAAAGGAAAAAAGAGGATAAACACCAACGAAACCCTAGAATGAGATTCGCGCTGATACAAAGTTAAAATCGAGACACTTTTATTCCTTGATACTTGATTGATACACAATGGCCGAAGCTCTCTAATCATAAAATAATGACAAATTACATATTAGTACTTAATTTAGAGAACTCTTCTGCTTCAGCAAGCTGAATAAGGAGGCTGGGATAAGGAAAATATGTGGCTCTAAGTAGGGTTGGCTATTTGGTCCGGGTTTTTTGGTTTTACCCAAAACCGGACCGTGTAACTCGGACCGGGACCGGATAATAAACAATCCAATTCAATTTTTGGGCTTAGATTTGATGTAAAAAACCTTTCGGGACCGAATCGAAAACTGGATAAAGACCGGATAAGAGAGCTCAACACCCAAAACTTAAGGGTAATTTGCATAAACGGTCACAAACCTTTGCGCTTAGTACAAAACTTAACAAACTCCTCACCCTTTCAGGCCTTAGGCCACTCAAATCCCACAAGTTCAATATAAAATCAAGATCGAATTGGGACCGGACTAGGTCAGGACCGGATTGTATCCAATCTAATCTTTGGTCCTTATATTTTCCAAAAGACCGAACTGGACCGGATCAATTTAGATCAAATTAACCGGACCGGACTGTATAGCCACCCCTATCTCTAACTCTCCCACCAGTGACATAAGGAGAAGCACCCGCGCTAGAATGTTCCTCAGATAGCTGGGCTTCCCGACATTGAGATCCATGAATGCGAGAAGAAGGAACCAAGTGATTTTGAAGAGAGAGGGGAAAAGGGGAGAAAATCGGAACCCTAAAATTGATACTAGGAGGACAAGAAAGCGAAGGTGTGGCTAACTCCGACGAGGGTATGTCTATCAGAGAGAGGGGTTCAATTTGACAAATAGACAAGATGGGCAGAAGCGGATATCATGATTTTCAGGGGGAAGTGTTTTGATTTAAGCGAGAAGTTTTGTGGCGAGAGACAGAGAGCAAGATAATATAGTTTAGGGTTTGAAGGAAAACAAATTCAATCTCTGCCGAAACAGATTCAATCTCTAGTTAAAAAATTTAGAGGCAAACGAATTCAATCTCCGGATCAATAGAGCTAGAGTACGGTTTTGGCGGTTGGGGTGGTGGTGGCTGGGTTTTAGCTTTCTAATTTGTAGTGGAGGATAATTATATATATATATTTTGAGTAACGATAATTTAAAGTGAAATTTTTTATATTTTATTTGTTTGTAGTTGACAAGTCAATAATTTAACGGTCAAACGTGAGAGTTGATTGTCACACCGGACAGAAATAACAAAGTTGGACAGAAATAACAAAGTTAGTGATCGTTAATGTAATAAAAAATTTGAGTGACAAAAATGAAACAAATTAGTAATCTCAATAACCAAACTTGCAATCCACCCCTTTAATATTAGTAAACCCATAGGAACTCTAACCCAACCGACTAGCCCCACTTTTCTTCATTATATTGCATGTGGATTGGTACATTAAAACCAGAAAATTTTCTATGTCATAGTGGTTAATCAAATTAAATAATAAAACAAAATTGATTAATGTTTGATTTGGTTAATTTGGTTGTTGTAATTATTTGATCGATGTGATTAAAATATTTTATTTTATCATTAATGAAATTTAAATTTAAAAGGTTTGTAAAAATGTGTAGGTTTTTTAGGTTTTATTATATAACATGTACTACTTATTTTGTAACATTTGTTTATTTCAGATAATAGTAATTTGTCATTTATGTAAAGTGTTAAGTCATTAATTAGTGAAGGTTTATCAGCCACTTAAATAACGACCTTATACGTATCATAATGCAATGGTCACACAAAGAATCAATACCCTAGCACGAGCTTCAATAGTTTAGAGTGGCCAATATTGTTTGATTTTATCATGACTGGATGTGTAATAGTTGCAAAAAAGCTATGGTATTGGGTTCAAATGTCGATCATCTATCTTGAGATTTCTAGAAATAGAAGAACACATGTGTATGGATTGGTTTGTTATAGTATAGTGTACGTGGACAGAAAGATTATTAATTATATTTTTTAACAAATTATATTTTAGGAAGTACAAAAATATATTAATTACAATTTTCTCTTTCTTTCTCTCATTTTCACAATCTCCAGCCAGATCTCTTTTTTTTTTCCCTCAATCTTTTACTTGTTTTCGTTCAGTCAAGCTAATACCGCCGAACAATAAAACAATACCAATTCATTAAAAAAACACTACCAATGCACAAAACACCTATATCATTTGAGAAATAAAAACACTATCATTTCAGAAAAACACTATCATGTGTGGTCTTTTTTTTCCTTTCAAAATTACCCTAAAGCAATCTTAAGCTTGAAATTAAAAAAAGAGAAAAAAGAGAAAAATAAATGGTGGATATTAATGGAGCCACGGTGACTACTTAAAATCCAATTATCACCCTAACACAAGTCTAGTGTACGCTCCTTGCTTGATACACTTATATATATCAAGAAAAGGATCAAAATCAGGTATTTTCCACCTTGGTGCAACATTGTGTAATTTATTTGATAAAAATTGAGTTAGTCAATCAAAAATAAATTTCTTATCTACAAAGCTATAAATAATATAAAATGTTAATATCGATTTTAAGAAAATTCCACTCCAACTTAAGAAAAGATTCCTTTTGTCAAAAAAAAAAAAAAAAAAAAGAAGGGAAATCCTCCTGGCTAAAGGGGTTCAGTTTCAATCAATTGATGATCCCATGGTCGTGGAACTGCTCGTGCTCAGGGAAGCTGTTGTTTGGTGTCTGGAGATGGGCTTATTCAACGTCATTTTTGAGGGAGATGCCAAGGTCATTATTGACAAAATCAATTTGGCGGACACAAGAGACAACAAGATGGGGGCTGTTCTTACGGAGTTTCAATCCCATGGTCGTGGAACTGCTCGTGCTCAGGGAAGCTGTTGTTTGGTGTCTGGAGATGGGCTTCTTCAACGTCATTTTTGAGGGAGATGCCAAGGTCATTATTGACAAAATCAATTTGGCGGACACAAGAGACAGCAGGATGGGGGCTGTTCTTGCGGAGTTAGTGCAGTATTTTAGAGCCCATACGGGGTTTAGTATTCGATTTGTAGGTCGGGAGAACAATAGGGTAGCCCATGTAGTGGCTAGAAAGGCCATCTCTTTGTACCCGGCTATGAGTCGATCTTTTGATTTTCTGACCTGGCTGAATTCCAGGGTGTAACTATCTTTTTGTTAAATCAATATATGATTATTGTCACACCTGATACCTAGAGTTTTCATGAATTTCCAATTTTACCCTCATTTAGTTATTATGATTAATTACTTAACTCTAGCTAACCCTAAAGCTAAGCAATTATTGCTGCTCGACCCTTCCAAGCCCTTAACCCCTTCAGCTTATACACATATATAAATATATCATTAGGAACCTAATACGCAAAAACAAACACAAGAGCGCCGCCGGCCGCAATTCCTTTCCCCTCTCCCTTGCCACGCCCAAACATTTTCAGCTGCTCCCGGTTGTCGTATCTTTCTCCCTCGATCAAAATCAAGCTAAGAAGCAAGCCCCGGCCAGCGGAAGCAGTAGTTTCTCCGCCGATAGCACCCCGCCTCTCCGTCCTTCATTGCCTGTAGCTTCTCCGCCGATCAGTCCCCTATCCCAGCTCGTCCAAACCGTAGTTCAGTAGGTAAGTATAATCGAGCTACGAGTTTCTATTTCATATCGGTCATAACTAATATGTGGCGTGTAACTTTAGGACCAGCATGCTTTGTATTGTTCTGGGGCAGGGTTATTGATGAATATGAGCGAACTTGGGTTCATTGTGTTGATCTTAAAATGGATGGGATTAGCTACGTATGGTAATGCATATATATATATATATGGTTATGTCTTCGGTGCACTCACTTTTTTGGGTGCATTCAATGCACCCGCCTCATAATCGTCATTCTGAGCAAGCGATTCATGTGAAAACAATGTCAATCATCCCTTGTGGTATGATGAACAAGAATCAAATGAATTTGTACAAAAATCATTCCAAGATTCACTTTAATTTGAATGATTGAGGGTTTAGGAATTTAGGGTTATGGTTAGGGTTTACAATTTGGGATTTTGGGTTGAGATTCAAAATTGAAGGTTAATAGGTTAGGGTTATTGGTTGATTAGTTGTGCTTCTGTGTTATATCATCATATGAGACTAATGCTACCCATTAAATTTCAAAATTTAATGTATTATGACCACTTTTAGAGGTGGGTGCACTGAATGCACCCAAAAAAGTGAGTGCGCCGAAGTAGCCACCATATATATATATGGTGGCTACTTCGGCGCACTCACTTTTTTGGGTGCACTCAGTGCACCCGCCTCATAATTGTCATTCTGACCATGCGATTCATGTCAAAACGGTATCAATTGTTGCTTATGATATTATGAACAAGAAGCACATGAATTTGAAAAAAATTCATTCAAAATTTACTTTAATTTTAAGTATTTAGGATTTAGGGATTTAGGGTTAGGGTTTAGGTTTACAATTTGGGATTTTGGGTTGGGATTCAAAATTGAAGGTTAATGGGTTAGGGTAATGGATTGATTTGTTATGATTCTATGTCATATCATCATATTATATTGAGAGTACTAATTAAAGTTCAAAATTTGATGTATTATGGACGCTTTTAGAGTTGGGTGCACTGAGTGCACCCAAAAAAGTGAGTGCACCGAAGTATATATATATATATATTTATATAGACGCAATGCATGTAATCGTGTTAAGTGCTGGGGGTTATTTATTTGGAGCAATTCTCAAAGGTGGATTAATTGTTGAGATTAATGGGAAGGTCCAGATCGTAGGGTAGTAGAATTCTGGGTAGAATGATTTAACATAATTAACTGGGAGTGGGCAGTAGCTTGATGATAATGTTTAACCTTGGAAATTTAAAACATTTCCTTGGACTAGGAAGGTGACGTAGCATGGTGATGGTATGGATGAGACAGGTAGTTTGGACGACCGTGGGTTGAAGTGCAGACCGATAATCTACTTACGTTAATTGCAAGTTGATCAACTTGAATCGACAAGGTGCGTGGTTAAAGTGGGCTAGATTTAATTTTCAAGTTATGTGTATGCTTCTCTATGCTTTCGATTATGAATGTTTTACTGGTTTTCCAAGTTTAAGTTTCAAGCTATCATGGTTGCATGTTAACAAGCAAGATCATGTTTTAAAACTCAACTAACTGGCTGCGCACACGACCACCTTTCTTCCCATAGTGAGGAAGTTTATCAGGTTTATCAGGTTATCAATCTTATCAGGTTCCCTTCCCATTGTGAGGAAGTTTATCAAGTTTATCACGTTTAGGTGGTCGAACAGTGGCGCTAGTTAGGTTGAGTTAGGAGCCCCTTTTCAAGCAAGCTAAATGAGATTTCTTGATCACGCGTATTCCAGTTCTTTGTTTTTGTTCCTCCTAAGTCGTTGAGTAGTTATCACGTTATTTTAAGATAAATTGCACCTAGGACTGACCCCACACCCGCACTCAGGAGCTACTAGGGAGAAGGAACACACAAACCAACCGCGGGAACACCATTGCTGCGCAGGATGTCATCAGAAGGGTTAGTGGCCGAGAAGCTTCACCAAGGGCACCTTTTACTTAATGAATTCCTTTTAGTAGACTTGAGACAGATGCTCGTTTGTGTTGAATTGACAGGGATAGTTCTTTTTTGAGATTTGGATTTTTGTTATGGATGATTTTCCGTTGTTTCTCCTTTCTCAAGACAAATTATTTATTTTGATTTTCAAGGACATTTTGGTAAATTTAATGACCGGCCGGTTTAGGGTGTTACAATTATCTTTTGTCAAAAAAAAAAAAAAAACTTAAGAAAAGATTCACTTGTCTCGCCAAAAAAAAAAAGCACTTGCAAGGTTAATTCACCGATACATATCTTGAAAACCCATGCGAGCTAATTATTATTATTAAGCCACAAGCAGACAAAACATACCAAAAATCGGGAGGTACTGTTCATCCTGGAAAAATCGCGGGGGGTACTGTTCACGGAGTGGTTCAGTGATTGTGTGCGGTCCTATCACGTAAGCTCATGTGTATCTGTCTTGGGTAGGCCAAGTGCGGCCGTTGATGCTAGATTTTGGCCAAACATGACCGTTGATGCTAGATGGGCTCGCAAACAAACGACAGCACGTGTTCGGTGACCCCTGGAAAAAGAACACATTTCTCGATACTACCTTTCTCTCACCTCCCAAAATCACTGGCCTCCCAGACGTTCTGGCCTTCTCTGATCTCTCCCATCCCTTCCCATCTCATTCACAACCTCCCATCTTCGTAACCTCCGACCACACGCCGGCAGGAGATGGTGCGACAACAGATTTCTCATCTCCGAAATCGCTGAACGAACGCCGACAAACGACCAGATTTCCCCTCTCTCACCTACACAATTGCACAAGCGAGGGTTTCAATTTTCTCTTTCCCCCACCCCTAAACCCGTTGAACGACAGCGTCGGAGATACAATCTCCATATTCATCCTCACCTTCCCCCGACGTTCTGGCTCCCCAGTTCGCTCAACCTTATCAGTTCAAAGCGGATAGAGTCACCTTATCCTCCCCCAAGCCAAATCAACGCGGATTGAGTAAGTGGGTTCCAACCATGGAGGGTCTCCTCCATTCCGACCCCTACATCCAGACGGCTCTGGTTGCAAGTGACGAAGGGATATGGGTTGCCAATTCCTGCCGCCAAGTGGGTTTGAACGGTAGCTTGCCTAGCTCCGTGAAATTGGATTGGCCTCTGATAATTGTCGAAAACATATTGATATTATGTGCTTAATGTGATTATTTCATGATATGTTTGAGACATATAATGCTTGTTTTAAGGCCAACTGACTCTGGAACGGTTGTAAGACCATTACCTCCGTGTGTTAGAATTTCGATATATTTTAGGTGGAAAATAGGAATTGTGGAAGTACAAGCATACAAGTGGAACACAAATCGAGTCTATGACCGAACCAATTTGGACCGGATTCCTAACCTAACCCCATTAATTAAAGGACTCATTGGACCGGTTAGAGGATTTATTTGGACCGGGAAAGAAAGAGCTGGGGACGGCGTCCAAGTGGGAGATGGAATGGGCCAGAGTGATTGAATTTTATGGCCCAAGTTCCTTGTCCGTTTCTGGGTGGACTCTACTACACGTGAGAATGAGAAGGGGTTCATTTTAATTCAAGAAGGAGAAGGAATTAATTGGACACGTAGCAGGGGGAATGGGTACATGATAATTCTTTTGGGCGGAGGCAAAATTTGGGCCAGGAGAAAGGAAGGAATAATTGAAATTGCTTTGGGGCCGGGGACAGAGAATTGGAGAGGGATTGATTTGGACCGGACGGAATTTCATTGGGGAAGCTTGGCGGCTATTATTTGCCAGGGAGGGAATTATTTGGACAAGAAGGAATTCTCTTTGGGGGCAAATTCTTTAGGGGAAAAAAAGCAGGAGAGTCTAGGGAATTATTCTGGGGCGGCGGAATTGAAGGGGAAAAAGAAGCAGAGCGCAGCGAGCAGAAGGACTGGGGGAGATTGGCGAAATAGCAAGCAAGCTGCGGCCATAGAGTGCAGAGCCCGGAACGAGCAAAACAGCGGGAAGAAAATATCAGTATTCTTTTTTCTTTTGCTTTGATTCGTAACAGGATGATTATGAACATGATTGTGTGTTTTATTTTTATCATGAACTAAACCTCAATTTATGGGGGAAACACCATAAGATGTAGCTATTTCTAGAATTGATGGATTGATTCGTATTTTTTTTCTTCCAATCTCTATTGCATGAAATTACTTAATGCTTTGTGTTGACTGGCCACCAATACAATGAATCGTAGTTAATTAGGTTATTAGCGACAGTGAAACCCTAATAACTGAACCTATTTCATGTGACATAGTAACTTATCGAAGTGACAGTGGATTAAATAAGGTGCTATGCGGTCTTAAATAGGATATCGATCTTCAGGCTAAATAATTAAGTCATTGAGCTACGACAGTAGGATTTGATTTAATTGTTTAGTACGTAGTAATTCCTGACAGAGATAGCTAGCACATTCGTGATATCCTGGCTGTAGAGAGTTGGATTAAATTGATTGGAATATGTGAATTAATTTTGATATGATAGGTAGTGAATCCCGGTGTTCCTCCCAGAGCTTTCTCCATTGATTTCTCCTAATAACTTTAATTTGCTTGTTTTGTTTAATTATTTTGCTATTAGTTAATTATCTCATCAACCAAACCATTTTTTCACCAATAGTTTGCTTAGTAGAATTGATAAATTATAAGGTTGTACCAGTCCCTGAGCGACGATACCCGGATTTCCGGTTTTACTACAAGATAGGAATTGGCATTACGCTTTTGCCCTATCAGCCTCCCTGTCTCCAATGATTCCAATTGATTCCCCAGATAATGACGTCTCCAACTCAGAGCCACCTACTCCATCCCAATAGTCGTGGATAAGTAACCTTCTGCAGTTTTCTCTGCAAAAGCCATGAACGAAGATTCACAGTACCATGCTGCACATTATCTTCGAGGCTATCTGGATTTTGGTGCATAGGCCACAACCTGGTCAATAGAACCTGGCAGGGTCTTTGCCTCTCCCATTATGCAATTTCCAATCAGACAAACTGAATCTTTCAGCCTCTGCGGCTGCGGGACGAGAGCTTTGCAAACGCTCGAGGAAGCTTCCAACCCTTCCATCAAATGCTCTGTTTGTACTAGGGGTGGGCATTGGTGCGGTCCGCACCGCACCGTATTGATATAAACCGCACCGCACCGTATTGATATAAACTGCACCGCATGTTAGACCGCAATGTTATCGGTGCGGTCAAACCAAATCGCATATGTTAGCGGTTTGGAGCGGTTTGGACCGCAACCGCAACTTGGACCGCAAATGGCTCCCACAACTACGTATTCTTTGCCTCTGCTTTGCCTCTGCAATTATGGCCATCACCTTTGGAAGAATGCTTATACATATAATTATATTACTTCATTCATTAGTACAGTACGCAATTTGGAAGAACCTCCATTTCTCTACCACATCTACCAACCCGAGTGTCTTTCAATTGCCTTGTTAAATGTCAACATAAAACCAGCATTTGACAGAAACTCAAATATAAGCAAGTACAAAGTGACAATCAAATAAAATAGGACACTCATGTAGCTCTCTGGCCAGGCCGTGACTCCCACCACTTCCACAGAAAACAGAGCATACAGAGTTGTAGGCAGTAGCCTGCACACAACAAGAGAATCATGAAAACATGCTTTTGATTCAAACATAGGATGTGGCCATAATAATTATATATATGCTTCAAAAGCAGGCTGGGGCATGGAACTTTGCAGAATCCAGAATTACAAAGAAAAGGAAAATGAAAAGAAAAACCAATCTGCTCCTCTGCAAAACGATACAGGTGAGAGCAAGAAACTAAAGAAAGGCTGGAAAACCCTCTAACCTAAAACTACAAACTAATAGCGGACCTCAAAACATGTCTCAAGCATAGATAAAACCCCAAGAACCCCAATTATTAACTCACAAGGGCAAACACAGCTGAATTCATCTGTAGAACTATGCTGTAGTATTACTACAGACACCAGAGGAAGCTTATTAGCTTTTTTCAGCATCCAGATGGTATAAAACAACAGTAGCAGGGGCAGTTCATGCTTCACTGAACTTTAACTAACTAGCTATGCTTTCTTAGCAAAACAGCCCACGAAAACCGAATTTCACAGCTTTTTTATTGTAAGAAAGCTTACCTTCATCAATATCGTCAATCTCCTCTGAAGAAGATGAAAGAAATTAGTTACAAACCGAGTGACCACCATCTCACCCTCTAGCAGCAGCTTTAGCACTCTTGAACAAGTAAGCTTAAGTTAAAGTAAACACACAAATAACCCCCTGCACCAGCATAAATTGAAAATTAAACCAGGCCAAGTTTAGGACACAACAACACAATAAACCTCAAATACCAACAACCCTCGATGCAGCACCAAAAGCAGTATTGAAGGGGGGAAAACATAATGTACAAATTGAACATTAGTTCCCCCACCAGCAACTATGTTAGTAATCACTCCATCACTGGGAATCCTCTGGCTTTCAAGACTTTGACTGGCTGCTCTTGACTTGGGAAAGAGAGGAATCAAGAAATTGAAAACCCAGCTGTTAGTTTCATCAAGTTCTGGTGCATTCTTATTGAAAACCCAGCTCCCAACCAAACACAGACATCAATTTTAGCTGATTCTTATTTTAGGTGCTTGTCTCATCTCATCACACATAAGTAAACACACATCAAATCCAGCTTAAACATGGATATTTTTCCAAGATTCGAGAAATTGAAGCACAACCTAATGTTCCCATGACAGAAATAAGCAGACCCAGATCATGAATTGTAGCAAATTGAACCTAGATTTGAGAAAAGCTAGATAATCTTAGAATCACTTACAGAAATAAGCAGACCCAGATCATGAATTGTAGCAAATTGAACCTAGATTTGAGAAAAGCTAGATAATCTTAGAATCACTTACTATAACAGAGAATGAAACGCACCGAGCATCGTCCCGTCCTTGTGAGCCTAAATGGAGATGAGATTAGATGGGAAGTGGAAATCTTCGAAAGCAATTCTACAGCTTCCTCCGCCGCCAACGACGGCCGTAGTAGATCCTGAGGAATGCGCCGACTGGGGAGTGCTTTTGATAGTTCACCAAAGCACCGTAGCTCAGAGGATAGGATAGGTCGAGGTGCGCTCCATCTAGAAATCTCGAGAGCTCTCGCCCTAGGTGGTGCGCGACGTTGAGAGGGACAAGAAGCTTGGGAGTCGAGACGGAGGCGAGAATTGATAGCGAGAGGAACCGTCAGCGATGGCGTCGCCGGTGAGGCTTGCTAGTAAGTCGGCCACCGCCGAGAAGAGATCGGGTCATGGCGTGCGATGTGGTGAGAACTGAAAATCCTCGCTGAAGTGTTGGTGGGCGACCTTGTAGGGATTTAGCGGTTTGCGGTTTTGAACCGCAACCGCGCGGTTTCGGTCGGCTCGTACCGCAACACCGCGAACCGCTTAATTATTAAACCGCAAATAAAATCGCAATCTTATCGGTGCGGTTTGGGCTGACCGCACAAGCGATTTGGAGCGGACGGAGCGGTTTGGACCGCACCAATGCCCACCCCTAGTTTGTACCCCTCTCTCTCTCTCCCTCTTCGTTCTTTCTTCTTCAATTTCAGTGTCATCCAGCAAATGTTCAAGTATATACACAAATAGCTATGATCAAATCAAATTAACAGATAGACATCATCCATCGACTCCTTTTGTTTGTTGGTATGGAATTTAGATTGAGTTGCATTTTATGGTTTATTCAAATGCCTTCCACTCTTCAGCCTCATTACTACCACTAATCCACACTGATGGTTGGTTCTCTAGAAATGGTGGTTTCAATTGGTTGTTGCACTTTATTTCTTGCTCTCATATGGGTTCATGTAAATAATTCCCCAATGCCAAAGAACGTCACCTTAGTTACTTCTACTCAGTTTATGCTTAAAATCCAATTGGGAATATCCAAAAGTACCATGCTAAAGAACTTCCCCCTTCTTGAATTAAGTTGCAGACCTGAATCCACACAAATGTTGTGTTTATATTTATTCTCAAGTTGCAGAACTAAATAGGTTAAGTTGCAATACTAGATTTGAGGACAATTCCGTACTCGATCAATAGTTGATTTAGGCTTTACTCTCAAGTGTTTATGTTCACTCTTAAGTTGTAGAACCAATGCTTGCATGCCTATTACTTTTACTGTGACCATAGCTTGCATGATTAGTGTGTGTTGGTGCAATGCAGACTCCTTCACTAGCCTGAATTAAGCTAATCAGATTAGAATGGATTCTTCCACATACAACGAGGAGTTCAATTGCTACCAATCTGACATCCATAGATGGATTGGTCACAAGGTAAACCAATATATCCATCATAACCTGTCATGAGTGAACTTAATAGATGGATTGTTTGCCTTTTGCTAGCATTAACAATTGTCATTGAAGTTTACCATACCCGAGGAAAAGGGGTAAAGCACCATTCTATAATTTATTTTGACGGTATTTTAAATTACATATTCTATAATACTTCAAATGTTACTAATTAGGAAGAAAAGACTTCATACCATTACAATGATGTACAATCTATATGAAAGGAAGCTAAGGAATAGTTTATAGGCATTTAATTTACTGGCTCATTTGTCTTCGGTAAGTGCAGGTCTGTTATTGCTTTCTTTTTGATTGTTGGGACTGAATTTACATATTATTTGCATTAGAAAAAGTTGATTATGAAGTAGTCTAGAGTGATTAAGACAACGGGGAGCAATCTCTCATATGACTCCATTGATAGATCAACGAATATAGTCTGAATTAGTTGTGTTGAGTGAATCATGGTGTTACATAGTGATTATAATCTAACTGAGTGGGAGAAAACCTAATGATTTCCCATAGTTTGGTGGCTCTTCTATAAATGGTCCTTTGCCACTAAAGCTGCTACTTCCACTAGGATTATTGCAGCTAAATAGTTTTATAACTTCGATCTTTTGTTCGTCTGATGTGATAGATGACTAAGATAAAGTTAACAGAATAGTTCTTAAGCCACTCCTAATGCTCTAAGAATTGGTTAGGAGTATGTTCTATATATATGTATGTATACAAATTTGGTGTTTCCAATGTGATGGCAGCAGTCTTATGCTACGCTGTGATTTTTTAAGCCATGATTTGATGATCAAGCAATAACCATAGGAAATGTGATCACACAAAGCAATTGCAGAGATGTTCATTCTTTCATGCTCATTGGTTATTTTAAGTCACGTCTATATGATTTCATTTAGTTGATAACCCCATTTCTTCCTCAGATAAGGATTCTTCTACCCATGTAGCCAGTGCTCCCAAATACGCATTTGTATAGAGAAGTTGCTTCGACTGCTAAGTGCAGCTGGGATTTTGGGTTTGGTTGTGGAAACAGATTTGACATTCCATCTCCGATACAGTGCTTCTTAAAGAAATAATGGCTTGCAACATGAAAATGAGCTTTAATTTATCATCCTAAAATCATATTGGGATACCTGCCGCAGAGCTCGGGCTGTCTTGGAGAGAACTAATCAAAGAGTTGGAACGGTTGCAGGCTAAGAATAAGGGTCCTTCGGTCTCTCCCTTCCCAATGTTTACAGTAGCAAATTGATAGTGTTAATGTTTGTGGAAGCTGTAGCAAATTCATGGGAACAAGCCAAAATTGCTCACAAGGTAAATGAAATCTATCCATCGACCATCATGATCTGGCTTTGGTTTTTTTTTTTTTTTTTTTTTTTGCATCTCGGGAGGCTTTATAGCCACAGAAGAAGAAAAAAAAAAAAAAACAGGGGGAGGGGAGAAGTTACAGAACAGGGTAGGTTCCATCAGAATCTACAACATCCCTGGGGAAGGATTGCCCTCTGCCGTCGTATGATCTAGCTTTGGTGAATGTATCTTTCATTAATGATAATGCAACACTATTGACGCCCAAAGCACAAGAGCTAGAATGGGAGTGCATTTACTGGTGTAGTTAATTTGGTTTTTCGAGTTCGATTCAATTAGGTATTAAAAGGCAGAGAAAAGAGATTATGGGTGGCATTGAGAGAGACTTATGAGTTAGGAATACAAATGATGTATAAACTCTACTTATATGCATAAATCTCCGGAATCTCTCTTCCTTTATATATCATCATTCATCAGTACCATGTGTTAAACATTTGAAAGTCAATATAATTGTTACTAGAATCAATACCCGCGGCTACGCCGCAGGGACTAAAGTTGCAGTAGGATTAGAGGTGGCAATTGGATCGGATTCGTGGATTGGATTGGTGGATTCATAGATCAAATGGATTGGTGGATTCATGGATTTGATCAAATGGATTGGTGGATTGATCCATGAATCCAAATGGTATCCAAAGCTTGGACAAAAATGTAAAATTTAAAAAGTATTGGTTCTAAAATGTCATAATGAAAAATTTTAGGTACCAAAATGTAATATTCCAATGATATTTTTCGTATAAAAATATAAATTTTAGGTACCAAAATGTCAAATATAAAAAATATAGGTGCCAAATCGTAATTTGTCATTTGGATTCATGGATTGATTCATGAATCCACCAATCCAATTGGATTTGGATCAAATGGATTGGATTTAAGTAGATTGGATTAGATGGATAATTTGGTGGATGGATTGGATTGGATTCATGAATTTGGATTCTAATTGCCACCTCTAAGTAGGATGATCTTATGGTGGTCAATTTAGGTAAAACCAAGCTGGGGTTCATTGTGCTACTGGCAATGGTGTGAGTTTAAAAGTTTTGAAAGTGTTAGCAAGAGACTGATGTATCATGATTCATGAGTTTCATAGTTAATCAAATATGGTGCTTCTGTCAACATACCTGTTACCCAAGGTAAATAAAGCAGGTAAGAGGGGAAAAAGAGGAAGTACATAGTTCGTATGCAAGCAAATCTCACAGTGAAACAACGCACTTCTAAGCAGCATAAGTTTCACTTTCTGAAGAGAAAGTGAAAAAACATATACATTGTCAAGATACATTGATCCAGAATTGTTCTGCATGTCTTTGGAAAGACAAATAGGTGTACCATGCCGTGTGTACATGAAGCAAAATATGTTATGGTTTATGGTTTACAGTTTAACATAGAAAGATCTCGACATCATAAATGGGGGGCAAACAGGGTTTAATGCGTATGATACCGACCTCAAACACCGACCTGACAATTTTTTTGTGTTTTTGTCCAGGTCCAATCTCCATAGTAAACATCTTGCCTATGATAGAGCTGAGGCATGCATTGGTACAGGTGTTAGTGACAACAAACTACTCTCCTGCCGATTTATTTAATAGTGAGATTGCTGCATCATTACATTGTTGAAGAGATGAGGCATCATGGCACAAATTTGTGGGGAGCAAAGGTAGATTACATACCATAGGACAAATTTGTGGTAGCAATTTTGTACAATAGAAAAGAGTGAGTAAGAGCTCACCACCGCCGATAGTACCGTTGATCTTTCGCCAACTTAATCCTAATCATCGAGACAATTTGATCCTAATCGTCAAGACATCTCTGTAGTAATAACTCGCATCACTCTGAAAAACGTGATCAACAGGCTCTGCAAAATGTCAAACTTTGATGCCAAAAACCACTACACACAGATGAATTTCAGCCAGATGAATTATAGTAGTAGCTCCTTAAAATGTTCAATTTGTGATTCACTTTATTTAAACCTCACAAAACATTGTTTTCTAATGGTGATGTAATACTATTAATAATTCAAAATTTAGTTTAGGGAACATACAACACATGCATTGAAATTAACTACAAAGGTATCATTTAGTGATCAGGCAGGAAGCTTCACTATGATCTGCAGCTCCCAGGTCCAAGGATCCTTTATCTCACATTCCACATATCTGCCCGCCTCAAACCTGCACCCAATTTCTCTTAATCTTCTCCATAGATATAAATCCAGAGTGATTATCCAACTCTTCCTTAAAGTAGCAAGTTTTCAGCAGGACGACAACCACCTTCAACCCTCTTCCATATATAATTGTTCATTCATATGTACACTGTCTTGATTTTCCTCCTGAGATGTAGACCGAGTATCGATGTTTCTCTTCTTCTCAGCAATATAGTAGCCAGTTTTGGTTTGTGTGTAGAATTGGCTTCTCTAGGTTAAAGCCCATTGGTGGAGAAAAAGGCATGCATAATAGTTGGCCAGGCCTCCCCTATTGTTCCTTCAACTTTCTCTGTGCTTCTCAACCAATCAACAATTTTCCTTCCAACTTAGCATCAGATCACTTGGGGGTGGAGACTCTTTGTCTTCAAAGATTTCTTGTTTTCTTTCCTTCCAAACCACACAATAGATTGCATGAAACAGGACCTTTGAATACACTCTTTGGGGGTGGCAATTTGTTGGTGGGGCCAACCTCTGATTGTTGTCTGCAAGTCACTTGAAATGGGAGTGTTTCAAATTGAATATATTTGGTTAACCTTGTCCAGACTTCCTTCAAGAAGCTGCAAGCAAGAAAAAACAATCAAT